CATATATTGTATCTTCTCTAGAATAAAGTCTCTCTTCTTTTCCTTCACTTCTGCAAAAATCCACTTCCTTTACTCCTCCTACTGATTTGCAAAGTTCCTGACAGCAAAGCCTGTGATCAATTCAGATTTACAGCCCTACTTTACAGCACATAGAAGGTATGGAATAAATGTTTGATAATGAGGAGAGTACGAGATGTGGGGATGTTCTTAATCTTAAAATAAGTTCAAAGTATTATTCTCTGCTGACAGACATATTTGAAAATAGGTATGGCACAATTTTTTTAGTCTGAAATCGCAGAGTTATATTTGAGTATTGTACACTCTTTTTTTCTTTTTTTGAGAGAGTCTCACTCTGTTGCCCAGGCTGGAGTGCAACGGCACTATCTTGGCTCACTGCAACCTCCACCTCCTGGGTTCAAGCAAGTCTCCTGCTTCAGCCTCCAGAGTAGCTGGGACTGCAGGCGCCCGCCACCACGCCCGGCTACTTTTTTGTATTTTTAGTAGAGATGGGGTTTCACCGTGTTAGCCAGGATGGTCTTGAACTCCTGACCTTGTGATCCTCCTGCCTCGGCCTCCCAAAGTGCTGGGATTACAGGCATGAGCCACCGCGTCTGGCCGAGTATTGTACACTCTTATTGCCATGTACAGAAAGAAAAGAATCACAGCTTTCTGTGATTTCACGGAGGTGTTTTACTAACACACAGAAAAAACTTTGAAAAATATACCGTTTCTTAAAAATGAAATGTATGATTTGCTACAAATGGCCATATGGAAAATGATACCTGCTTATTTTTGACTCAGAGTACATTCAGTTTTTATACTAACTGAAAATTATATGATTGCTTTCTTTGTTTTAAAAGTGAAAAAAAATGTAATCACTGCTTTTAGCCTTGTAATATTGAATGCATCAATTGGCCCCCCTTGAAGAATGTTGAATAGCTATCACTGGTGACAGATGTTCTATACATCGCAGTAATACTGCTTATGTAGTGATAATTTTGCATTTCTAATTTGTCATTTTTAGTGATTTAAAAGTCACTTGATGACTCCCTGAAAAATGACTGATGCTTTTCCTATATTAAGTAATTTCTGCTGGTAAAGTGTAAGTCTTTTAATAATTCCTTGAATTATGTTCGAGTCTGCATATTTTCATTCTTTGTTCAACTAAACAGGTGTGACAATTTATAGAATTCCATGCAGAAACATCTCTCTAATTACTCCATCTTGGTACTTAGAAATGTGTTTCATGGGGAAATGCCAGAAGCTTGTTTTTTAAATACAGGAACGTTTTGAACATATGACTTCAACTTTGTTTAGTACAAAAACTCGAACATTGAAAATCTAGAAAGTTGAATTTACAAGGCATTTTATCTTTTCTCTGCGGGTAACCTTATTATTGTATCTTGTCTGTGATCATCAGTGATAGTACAATTTCAGAAACCGGCTATAAAAGCACAATACCGTAATTATTAAAATGTCATCACCCTTTCAATAGATATCATACTTGATTTCCTAGAATGTTGATTTGATTCGTGTGATTAAAAATTTCAAATTTTTACAACCTACTTTATCATGTCCAGACTTACCTTAGTAACCCAATCAAATTCCTATTGTATAGGTTTAAAAGCAATTTTAGAAATGGCTTGTAATAAATGAATGTTTCCTGATTCAAGATAAAAATTTGGAAATGATTAATCCATTTTGAACTCAAATTATACCACAGATCAGAGGAATTTTCCATCAAGCTTAAAAGCAAATTTAAAAATAATCTGAGATAGTGAATTAAATTAAGATGTACATATAAACATCTTTTTATTTTTTTATTATGATTTTTTAGACGGAGTCTTGCTCTGTCACCAGGCTGGAGTGCAAAGGCACAGACTCAGCCCACTGCAACTTCTACCTCCTGGGTTCAAGCAGTTCTCCTGCCTCAGCCTCCTGAGTAGCTGGGACTACAGGTGTGGTAGGTGTGGTACCATGCCCAGCTAATTTGTATTTTTAGTAAGACGGGGTTTCACCATGTTGGCCAGGTTGGTCTCCATCTCTGGACCTTGTGATCTGCCCGCCTCGGCCTCCCTAAGTGCTGGGATTACAGGTGTGAGCCACTGCACCCAGCCATGAACATCTTAATGAGCAATCAATTTTGTAAATTTGGGGAAACATGTAACTTGTTTTTCTGTCCTTTATGCATTAGATTTTATTTGGTTGGTATTTGTTAGTCTACCTATGGTAGATCAACTCTGATGGCAGGGTATACTTGAAATTAGACCTTTTAAGGAACATCTTTAACAGAGTTTATTCTGTTTGATGAAACAGATGTCATGCATCATGGCAGATGAACCCACCATTTGGTGTTTAGGATCCAAATTTCACTTCAGGAGCAGGGTCGTAAACAACTGAAGCTTTTCTCCTTCAATCATGCCTGTTTGTTGGCAAGTTAGTTTTTTTAAACAAGAAAATAATCCTCATATCTTCTCCCTGACAAAGTTTTACTTAACTAATTGCTCTTAGGAAGTGTTATACTTGTATAATGAAGAATATCATTGATATAGTGAGAAATACAGAGCAAACATCATTTTTAGCTTACTGAAATCATGTAATCAGTTCTATTATATTCCTTAATTATTTATTATTTTCTGAGTCTAAGATTTTTAAAATGGAATAAATTAAATTACTCCATGAAGAGAAAGCTGGGAAAAGTGCTTTTGTGTGTGTGTGTGTGTGTGTGTGTGTACAAAAACTTATAAAATTAGTATATACTTAAGGTAAACAACATATGTCAGATGATTTTTATTTCAGTGATTTTAAAACAGTTATTGATCAATGGTGTTCTGATTGAATCTCAGCTGTTCATTTTAAAATAGTGCCTTCTCATCCTTTTCAGCATGTCTTCATAGAAAAGCAATTATCTGGCTATTATCGTTAACTAAATATAAAATTATGTTCAAATAAATATCCTTGACCACACAGAATTTTGTTAGTATAGTATTATGTGTAAATTTAGCTCTATAATTTTGAATTTTTAGTTTATTTTAAAATTTTGAAATATTATTAATAAACTCATTGTTCCACTGCGTATATGTAAAGATCAATAGCAGTAAGATTCAATATAACTATTATTGAATAAATGAAAAGCAGTAGCTCTTTTATCTCATCTAATGTAGTTTGTTTTTATAACCAAACACTAAGAACTACTTGTATATTTTTAGTGTTTTGAACTCTGCACAATGTTTTCGTACCAAAGTTGGCATTCAATGATTTTAACTATGAGAAAAGAAATACAGTAACAATTACATGCTATATATATTTCAGACTCTGCTTTTAGGTAGACAGTTGGACTAGGAGATGGTCACTTTTCCCAAAAGAGACACTGTGATTTTCTCAGTAAATTTATTTTGAATGCTGCTAAAACACTTCTGTCTGAAAAAATCTGACTTTCTTTCTTTCTTTTTTTCTTTTTTTTGAGATGGAGTCTCACTCTGTCGCCAGGCTGGAGTGCAGTGGCACAATCTTGGCTCACTGCAGCCTCCGCCTCCCAGGGTAAAGCGATTTTCCTGCCTCAGCCTCCCGAGTAGCTGGGACTACAGGCACCACCACCACGCCCAGCTAATTTGTATTTTTAGTAGAGACGGGGTTTCACCATGTTGGCCAGGATAGTCTTGATCGCTTGACTTCTGAAAAAATCTGACTTTTATCAGTAGCTGAAACTCTGGGAGTTGAGTCTATATTTCAAGCATATTTTGTTCTCTACGCCTTTGATCTATGTTCTTCTTATCCTCAGCCGAAATGCAAATCTCTCTGTTTTTGACATTCTGAGGAGCTCTCATTTCCTTCTTAACTTTTCCTCCTCTGCTGTTCACTTCCAGTTCTTTCAGCACTTTTAATCCTTAGTGCTCTTACATCTTCAGTACTCAAAGTTTTTACTGGTCATCTATTTCTGTGTAATACACTAACCCTCAATTAAGTGGCTTAAAACAATGACAACATTTATTTTCATAAAGCAGCAATTTTATTTTGATTTTGCTCTGATCATTGTCATTGGGGGGTATTGCAAAGACTGGTTGCTAGAATTGTCTAAAGAGTGCTTCCTCACAAATCTGGAAGTTGATGCCAGCCATTGGCTTAGATGTTAGCTGATGCTGTCTGTTGGAAGACTCACATGCTGACTTTCTACATGGCATTGGCTTCCTTATCCCTGGTACTGAATTCCTCAACAAGCTTCAATAGAGACAGTGAGCTGTATTAACTTTCAGGACTTACCCTCAGAAATCATACACTGTCATTCTCTGTATATTCTATTTGTTGAGGATTTTATAGAAGCCCATTCAGGATAAAGGGATGGAGAAAGGTCTGGAAGACCAATTTTGGTTGGAAATTTTGTTGAAGCAATTTTTTATAGTCTACCACAGTGCACGTTCTTTTTTCTCTTTCTGCAGCTTGCTATAGAATCATAGAAAGCTAGAAAGAATGCAGTTCTACCATGGACCATTCACCGTGTGGGTCATTATTACTTCCTCTGAGCTAACAATTGCATTTATGAAACTATTGCTTTAGACATATTATTAAAAGTCTGTTCCTTCTTTGAGCTCCATGTCACCTTGTGTCAGCTTTGCTACTACATTAGCTTTGTCATTTACTGTCTTCTTGGTTCCTTGTCATTAATTGACGGATACATCTACTTGATAGTCTTTAAGGATGACTGCTCCAAGGTATAGCCGACTCTCTGGCCAGCCCATCTACCCATCCACCTAACTATTCACCCATCCACCCACCCATCTACACACCGCCCACCCATCTACCCATCCAACTACCCATCTACCCATCTAGCCATCTACCCATTCACCCACCCATCTACCCATCCACCTACCCACCAACCCATCCACTCATCCACCTACCCATTTACCCATCTACCTAGCCAGGTTCCCATCCACCTACCTATCCACCCATCCACCAATCTACCCATCCACCTGCCCATCCACTCATCCACCATCCACCTGCCTATCTATCTTTCTTTCTATCTATCTATCTATCTATCTATCTATCTATCTATCTATCTATCTATCTATCATTTATCTGTTGGTGCCTTAAGCAGTTATGTTTGTAGCTGCAGGAAACCATCCTCAGACTCCTTCCTGGGGACCAAGACAGCCACCGACGGAGCTCTGCCCAGAGTTGTGGACAAGCACCAAGCTTTTCTCTTGGTTAGCTCCCCTACATCAGTACCTGAACCAGTGACCCCGGCTTCCCTTGTTTAGAGGAGCCAAACTCCTCTAAACAGACGAACAGCAGCAGCAAAGAGGAGTGAACACCCCTCTGTCGCTCAGCAGCCCTGAGTGGCTGTGACAGGCTGGGCTCCAGACTTACCGGGCGCTTGGTGAGGTCCCAGTTGTGGATGACCCTGTCCAGAATCACTGAGGCATCGTCTTGGTGGCAAATGTCACAGTAATAGAGGCCAGAGAAGGCACAGAGCTCGGGTCGTACAAAGAAGAAGCCGATCTGCCAGAAGCAGCCTGGGGAGATGGGTAGAGAGTGAGTGGTGTGGCCAGAGTCAGCTCCTAGTAACTTGGGAGCTGCTGTGGTAGGAAGGATCTGCTAATTTTTTTTAAAGGTAGGCACAAAGACAAGAATAACCACCACTCATATTTCCACCACTCAGAACTCCCCCTACTAATTGATCTTTACAACAACACACTGTAAGAACTATCATTATTTTACAGCTGAAGAAATGGATGCTCAGAGAGGTTAGGAAATCTATCTGGTCACATAGTGATGAAGTGGCTTGGCTGCATTCAGATCTGGGTTTGCCTGGTTCCTTGGTTTGCCTGCTTCCTGGGGAAGGCACACATGCTTGGTCTAATGCCCCCAGGCAGCCCCCGCACAGGAGCATAAGAGCTTCTGGGTGGTACACCAGAGGCAGATGGGTAGGTGACCAGGAGAGTCCCAGGTGAGTCCCATCTGCAGGGACCAGGCCTTTCAGAAGGCAGCTCTGAAGTCCTGTTTTCCATTGCTAAAGGGGCAAGGTGTTCCCACAAGTACTATGAAACCTCATTGCAGAATGTCATCATAATTGTGCTCATTCAGGGAAGCATTTCCAGAAAAGTACTATATTGTCTCAAAACTGCCTACAGAGGACAAAAATACTGTTTCGCCTGTCAAATAGGAAAATATTTTCCTGAAAACTACTCTATGCAAGTGATGATTATAGAGAGCTCTTGATTCCACCTGTAGCTCAGATCTAATCCAACCCCATGAAGCCCCAGGTGTTTTAAATGGTCCTTCCAAAGGTCTTTACCCTCAGTAGTTGGTTTATGTAACAGCTCTGCGGGGCTTGTTCAGATCTGCTATTTGTTTTGTTTTTTGTTTGTTTTGAGATCGAGTCTCCCTTTGTCGTCGCGGCTCACTGCAAGCTCCGCCTCCCAGGTTCAAGTGATTCTCTTATCTCATCCACCCGAGTAGCTGGGATTACAGGCACCTGCCACGCCCAGCTGATTTTTGTATTTTTATGTTGGCCAGGCTGGAGGATCTGCTGTTTGTTTAATGTCCTCCAGTGTTTCCTTTTTTTTTTTTTTTTTTTGAGACGGAGTCTCGGTCTGTCACCCAGGTTGGAGTGCAGTGGCCGGATCTCGGCTCACTGCAAGCTCCGCCTCCCGGGTTCAGGCCATTCTCTTGCCTCAGCCTCCCGAGTAGCTGGGACTACAGGCACCCGCCACCTCGCCCGGCTAGTTTTTTGTATTTTTTAGTAGAGACGGGGTTTCACTGTGTTAGCCAGGATGGTCTCGATCTCCTGACCTCGTGATCCACCCGTCTCGGCCTCCCAAAGTGCTGGGATTACAGGCTTGAGCCACCGCGCCCGGCCTTTTTTTTTTTTTTTTTTTTTTGAGACAGAGTCTTGTTCTGTCACCCAGGCTGGAGTACAGTAGTATGATCTCAGCTTGCCGCAACCTCTGACTCTTAGGCTCAAGTACCTCGGCTTCCCCAGGAGCTGGGATTACAGACGTGCACCACCACACCCAGCTGATTATTGTGTTTCCAGTAGAGATAGGGTTTCGCCGTGTTGGCTGGTTCCAGAGCCTGCGTTCTGCTCCATTACCCCTTGCTGCCTGTGTCTAGTGTCCCTGCTGCTGGCTCAGCAATGCCAGCCTCCTCTCCATCCACCCCTCCACTCGGGCCCCAGAATGGAAGCAGCAGAGTAGGGGCTATGGCGAGCAACGAAGTGGCTGGGGGACAGGGGCTGGGGTCAGGGCTGGCCATAGGGAGTGGACAGGAAGCCGGCAGGGGGCAGGGCAGTCTGCACAGTGTCTGATGCCTCAGGACTGTGGGGCAAGGCTGGCTTCAGTCCCCCATGGTTGGATAGTTCTTACAGTGTAGAGGTGTCTCCACAGCGGGGGCCCGTGGGAGCAGCCAGTGGGTGTGTCCTGGGCAAAAAGCAAAGGCCCTGTCTCCCCCAGGGGCAGGCAGAAGGGTCCCTGGACCTTGGGACCAGAGGGCGGGCTCTGCTGCTCACTAATTGCCTTACCCTGACCTTCACCTAATTTCTTCAAGCTTCCATTTCAGTGTCTGTAAAATTCAGCTACTACCAGCTATTTTGTGGGGTTATTACAAAGCTTAAATGAGGAAAGGTTCTGCAAGTACCCTGCGAATTATGAAATACAACGCAGATGCCAGTGGTTGGTGTCTGCCACTGAGCCATGCCTGCTGGGTAGAAAGAAAACCCAAACCCCCTTGTCTCTAAAAACAAAAACAAAAAATAAAAACAAAAACAAAACCCCACAGAACTCCAGACCTACTCATCAGAGTAGCTCACGAGAGGAAACTATGGCGTGAGACCACCACTTCTGCTGTCCTTCCCAGCTTCTCCTCCACCTCCCCTTTTCCCTAGTTTATAAGACAGGAGAGAAGGGGGAAAGCCAAAAGTTGGAAAGAAACAAAAGTAAGATAAATAGCTGGACGAACTTGGCGCCACCACCTGGCTCTGGTGGTTAAAATAATAATGATATTAACCCCTGACCAAAACTACTAGTGTTATCTGTAAATTCCAGACATTGTATGAGAAAGCACTGTAAAACTTTTTGTTCGGTTAGTTGATGTATGTAGCCCCCAGTTAAGGTCCTCATGCTTACTTGACTTATGACCTTTTCACGTGGACCCCTTAGAGTTGTAAGCCCTTAAAAGGGCTAGGAATTTCTTTTTTCGGGAGCTCGGCTCTTAAGACGTGAGTCTGCCGACGCTCCCGGCTGAATAAAAAAAACCTCTTCCTTCTTTAATCCGGTGTCTGAGGAGTTTTGTCTGCCGCTCGTCCTGCTACAAAACCAGTTTTCCAACTTTGCTTTGTAGAACTGAATGGCTCTAGAACTGAATGGAGCTTGGTGAATAGTCAAGAAACTATACAGTCAGGTTCCTTGCAGAACTGCTTTTTCTGAGCTCAGACCCGAGGTCATGCTGCTGGCCTTCATCATAGTAATGCTACCTGAAGCAGCCCCGTTAAACCTCCCTGGAGCTGTTTTGCAGGGTACCTGCCCTGTCCTTCTAGATCCCATGTTCATGGAGCTACACACAAGAAATTTAAGAGCGAAGGGTTAGGAAAAAGCTTTGATTCCCTCAACATCTGGGTGGGTTTTATTAATTTTTCAACAACAAAGAGACATGCACCTGATAGCCCTTCTCTTTTCACCTTACCTAGCAGGAAAGTCAGAGCTAAATTTTCTTCAGCAACCACCACCTTAGCACCTGTACAGCATCTGCCCCCTAATTCCTCTCCGTCTTGAGTCCCATCTCTAACTTGCTTTTCATGGTCCTGGCTTTTCAGTGAATTTGCCAGTTCACCACGTGTGTTTCTGTTGTGATCTGCCTCAAACCTTCTAGGGACTGAGGTCAGGGTAAGAGTAGTTTAAAAACAAGACAACATGTGGACAGTGAAGGGTGTGGCATTGGGCGTACCCTTCCTGCGGGGGTAACCTGGTAGTCTTGCCCACTGCCCCGGTTTATTCACTGGGGATGCGGTCCGGTCGGAAATGGGGCTCTGGCTCGGGGCCAGGAAGGGGATCTGGGGAGAAAGAGGTTTCCCAACCAGGCCTGTCACAGTAAGCAGCCAAGGACACGGAGCCTCCTGTCTCTCTCAGGCTGGGACGAGGGCTGCCATTTTAGGCATGAGAATTTCTTCTCCCAGAGGCCCTACTCCTCACCACCCTCCAGGGCAAGGATTATTATTAACTCAACTCCTGGAGAGGGAACTGCAGAATCTGTGATGCTAGAAGCACAGGATAGATCCCCTCGGGGGCCCAGCGTTGGCCTTGAGCCCTGAGAATGGTAGCCCCATTTCTTCCCAGGTCCTCCTTCTTGGGGCTTGCTTACAGTAAGGGTCCCAGAGCACTGCCAACAACTGCACCAGTATCACCTCTCTGGCTCTGGATTCCTACCTCTATTAATACAGCCAAAAGCTGCACTCAGTGTTGGCTCGTAGAGAATTAAGGGTCAAACCCCGCCAGGTCATTTCCAGGTCAATAGTCGTCAGAGGGCCGGCAGGCATCACTAAGCCCCTTCCCTCCTTCTCCCCACCCCCGCCACTCACTTCCAGCACATTCTTCCTACTGGATTTGTCTTTGGGGGCCCGAGAGAGTGGCCCCCCTCAGCTCCACTGTGTACTCGGGGGTGGGAAACTTGGAAGGCTGCCTCTGTGGGAGAGAGAGGAAGGTCACAGGCAGCCCTCAGCCCAGATGTGTCTGCTGTGGCACTCTGGCTTTAGGAATAGGATGGGGTCACTGGCGTGGCCAGGAAACAACTCTGGGGGAAGGAGCCCCGAGGGTTCCTCAACCCAGAGACCCTGATCTGTGAGGCCCAGAGGGAGGGGGCATTAGCCAGAGCAGTCCCTCCCTCATCTCAGCATGGTTGGAGAGGGGGCAGCGACCCTCGCCATTAGAGGGAGAGTGGGTTAGGGAGTCAGATAAACTGGGTTCAGAGCTTGACTGTACAAGTTGGGTGACCCTAGCCAAATCCCTTCATCTCCCTGAGCCTCAGTTTCCCCATCTGTAAAATGAAGATAGCCCCTCAGGTAAGTGAGCGGGTCATGTGGCATCTGACCGGGCAGTGCTCACTGAGCAGCCATTCCTTCCCACCCCCAATGCCTGGTGCTACCCCCAGATCTGCAGACAGGACCTGAAGTTTCTGACGCAGATCTGGGCCCAGCCCCTCATCAACCTGCAGATGGTGAACGCGTCTCTGTATGAGCATGTGGAGCGGATGCACCTCATCAGGAGGAGTTGGGAGCAGCTGAAGCTCCTGGGGGATTACCTGGGCCTGTGCCGGAGCGGCGCCCTGAAGGAGCTCTGCAAGAGGTGAGCAGCCTCTACGTGCATGCACACGAACACACACACACGCACATGTACACACAGACACACATGTACACACACCCACACACATAAATGTACACACAAATGCACAGACATGCACACACATGCACATGCGCACAAATGCACACACATACAGGCACTCGTGCACACGCACACACACACGGGCAGTGCCCAGGGCAAGGTGTCCACCTGGAGGAAACCTGGGCAGAGATCTTCCCACTGGGCCTGGGAAATGATCACATTTTTTGTGGATGATTTTGTTGGGGTTTTGTTCATGTATCCATGTGCTCATTCAAAAACATGGACTGAGAACATACTAAGCTCTGCACACCTGGCAAGGCGTGTGGGCTGCAGCACTAAGCAGGCCAGAACCAGGGCTGACCCTCCAGAAGCCTCTGAACTGGCAGGGAAGACAGGTGGAAAAGCCAGAACTCCATCCGGGGGTGAGGGTGAGAGGGGAGACAGGTGGGAAAGCCAGAACTCCATCCGGGGCTGAGGGTGAGAGGGAGACAGGTGGGAAAGCCAGAACTCCATCCGGGGCTGAGGGTGAGAGGGAGACAGGTGGGAAAGCCAGAACTCCATCCGGGGCTGAGGGTGAGAGGGAGACAGGTGGGAAAGCCAGAACTCCATCCGGGGCTGAGGGTGAGAGGGAGACAGGTGGGAAAGCCAGAACTCCATCCAGGGGTGAGGGTGAGAGGGAGACAGGTGGGAAAGCCAGAACTCCATCCGGGGCTGAGGGTGAGAGGCAGGCGGGACGTCCTGGAGGCACAGAGGCTTGACATCCAGCCCAGATCAGAGGAGGACAAAGCAGGAAGGACTTCCTGGAAGAAGTGACTTCTAAGGTGAGACCTGAAAAATGAAGAATTAGAAAGGGGAAGCAAAGGGGGAAAGAGCATTCCAGACAGAAGGAACAGCACACACAGGCCATGAGCGAAGGCACCGGTGGAAAGCCCAGGGAGAACTTTGGCGACAGTGTGGAGGAAAGCGGGGAGTGTGGCGAGAGGCAGGCAAGGGCCAGATGTTCCTGCCTCTTCCCTGTCCAGCTCGTCGTCTGGCCCATGGCAGCCTCCCGCCTGAAATTCTCCAAAGAGGACACGATCGGGGCGAGGCCCTCAGGATGCCCTTCCAGAAGCTTCTCTTTTTTTTTTTTTTTTTGAGACGGAGTCTCGCTCTGTCGCCCAGGTTGGAGTGCAGTGGCCGGATCTCAGCTCACTGCAAGCTCCGCCTCCCGGGTTCACGCCATTCTCCTGCCTCAGCCTCCCGAGTAGCTGGGACTACAGGCGCCCGCCACCTCGCCCGGCTGGTTTTTTTGTATTTTGTAGTAGAGACGGGGTTTCACCGTGTTAGCCAGGATGGTCTCGATCTCCTGACCTCGTGATCCGCCCGTCTCGGCCTCCCAAAGTGCTGGGATTACAGGCTTGAGCCACCACGCCCGGCCCCAGAAGCTTCTCTTACCCAGGGCCTCCGGCCTTTGGTGCTCAGGAATGGGATGTGATGCCGGGCTTCAACAGGGACTCAGGCCTCTCCGTGCCTGTCATAAATGCTTCTTAGTCCTCAGGTCACAGCCCAGGCCGCAGTCTTCCCAGGGCTGTGCTCTCCCGGCACCCTCAGGAGGGCAGACCTCAGCGGATGCCTGCTGGTGCCTAGTGCCCAGCATGGGCTTCGAGTCCGCCTCTTCTGGGTTTCTGGGGGCAGGGACCAGCTCACAAGCCCCTCCAGGTTCCTCCGTCTGGCCTTCCCTCGCCACAGGGCCGGCCTAGAGAGCGCCTGTCTGAAGACTGCCTCTTCCATCCTGGCTGCAGTGCTCCCAGCGCCGGGCCTCCTCAGGACCAGGGTGTGCCCCGAGCAGGTCCCCAGGGGCTCTCAAGGGGTGCTGCAGGGGGCTGTCCCCTAGGCAAAGAGGAGAATCTGGCCCCACAGCTGCCAGCTGAGCCTTGGTCTTCTCTGCAGGGCCTGAAAGAACAGAAAGCCCTCCGGAGACCACCATGTGGGACCCTAGACCCTAGAAGGCTTCACCCCTGGAGGCTCTGCCCATCCCAAGCATCCGCGGGTGACTGGGTCTCCACCTCTTGGCAAGCGCTGACTCTCCCTACCTCTGAGAGTCCAGAGAGACTGTCCTCCTGCCCACCTAACCAGGTGCTGAAATCTCTGGGGTCGGGTAGGGCCTCATCACCCTCCTTGGTCAAGGAGCCAAGTACCTGCACAGGCCTGCAGACCTGTGTAGACCAGGTGCCTGTGGGGTGGGTTGTGGGCCCCAGCCCCATTCACCCGTCTCCCCCCTGCTGAGAGAGTTTGTTCATTGGCTTTGCTGACCTGTCTGCGGGCACCAGGGGCAGCCCTGTCGCTCTATCCCTGGCCCTCCTGCTCCGTCCCTGGGCAGCAGCGCTGTACTCCTGCTATGCGTCCAGCCTGCTGCGGGAAGGGCCGTGCCTGTGGAAGTCCCATGGAAACAGCGTGGGGCAGGGGAAACAGTATGGGAGCCCCTCAGCCACTGTGCGTCAGGAAAGTTGCTTCACTTCTCTGGGTCCAGCTTTCCCATTTATAAAATGGGCCAGTGATTCCTCCATTCCTGTGGCCTCCTGAGTAGTGGTGAGGGCTGCGTGAGGGACCCAGAGTCTGGGCCACAGATGGCGCTGGGTCAGCATCGTGTGTGCCCTGAGGGCACCTGATCCAGCCTTGGCAGGGGCCAGAGGAGCTCCCAGAGGAGATGGCATCTGAGCTGAGGGCATGCAGAGTTCTTTTCCTTTTTTCTTCTAAAATGTTTTTCTTCTTTACAAAGGTCAATCTTCCAAGGGAGGAAAATTTATGAAAGGGAATACAGCAGACCGTTCAATCAGCCCTTCTCAGAGCCCACCACCACCTGCTTCTGCACCTCACGTGTTGCCACAACACAAGTGACATCGTGTGTCTATTGAACTGGGGCTTAGAAAAATGAGGGAAGAGCAGAAAGGGCAGGGGAGAACCTGGCTTTCCTGGCTAAGGGACCAGTAGCAGCAGGCGGGCAGGAGCACAGCTCACTGAGGCCCTAAGGGGCTCTGGGCAGCTGGGCTTCGGGTGCAGGGCCCAGAACTCAGAGGGCCCTCGACGACTTTGGATTTGATCTGCCACCTGTGGGGAACCATTGAAGGGTTGTGAGCACGGGGCTGTCACTTCTGATCAGCGGCTTAGAAAAGGCCACTCTGAAAAGACCAGGTGCAGTGGTTCATGCCTGTAATCCCAGCACTTTGAGAGGCCAAGGTGGGCGGATCACCTGAGGTCAGGAGTGTGAGGCCAGCCTGGCCAATGTGGCGAAACCCCATCTCTACTAAAAATACAAAAATTAGCAGGGTGTGGTGGCTGGCGCCTGTAATGCCAGCTACTAGGGAGGCTGAGGCAGGAGAATCGCTTGAACCCAGGAGGCAGAGGTTGCAGGGAGCCAAGATCACACCACTACACTCCAGGCTGGGAGACAGAGCAAGATTCTGTCTCAAAAACAAAAACAAACAAACAAAAAGACCATTCTGGCCCCAGTGGAGTGCAGTAGGTGAAGGGGAGAGCCCTGGGTGGCGGCTGGTGTAATTAACCCAGGGAGCTGGGCCTGGACTGAGTCAGCCAGAGGGGAGATTGAGAGGAGGAGAGGGCTGAGGCATGGGCAGGTCTTGGATGTGGGACAGGAAGTCAGGGAGGAGCTGTCCGGCACTAGTGGCAGCTGCCTGGCCGGGTTCTCTCCGGCAGACCTCGGACATGTGTCCAAGGGCCAGAGAAGCCCCTAAGAGTGTCCTCTCCAGCCCTTGAGAGGAAGCCATCACAGAAATGCCCCACACCCTGTCCACCCACCAGACCTCAGTGTCCCTCCCGACAGCCAGGGAGTGGTGGGCAGAGGAGGAGTCGGGGCTCAGGAGACAGGTGGGACCCAGGTCCCCCATCCATGCGCCCCTGATCTTCCAGCCCTTGCCTGGCCCTTTCTTTCCCTGTCACTTCATCGGTTCCAGGAGCTAAGATTCGACCTCTCCCCTCATCTTCCTCTCTCCAGATTCCTCTGGTCTCTTTCTCAGGTAGCCAGCCTCACACCAGAGGACAAAGAGGGTTCTCATTGTGTGGGTGGAGAAACTGAGGCCCCAAGTAGGCCTGACTGTGCCCCGGTGCACCAGAGTTTCTCTCCTGGAGGCCAGGAGGGGAAGTGACTTCTCGACCCTGGGTCCGTGCCCTCTCCCCTCTGGCCTTGACTGAGCACTGCAGAGAAACCAGTCGCAAGTCCTTGCTGAGAGGGTGACAGGCCCAGGACACAGGGGCTCCCAGGGCTTCCACGACTGTGGTCAGAGGACAGATGGCAAAGCTAATTCTCCATCCAGATCAGCCCACACTCCTGCCAGCTCAGGGCCAACCTGTGTCCCCCCAACCCGCTGTGTCCCATGTTTTCTTGGTAACAAATGGCAGCTTCCCTTCCTAGAGTGCAGGAAGTTTAGTGGGGACACCGGCATGGTAAACCAAGGGGCCAGTTGGCATCTTGGCCTTTGTGGCTGCTTGATGGGACTCACCGTCTCTACCCCAGATTGGGCTCTCCTGGACCACAGCTGAGGCCACCAGCTGGGACAAGGCCAAGTCCCCATCCAGATGCTCCACAGCTTGCACCTGGGAGGCCCAGACCCAGGGCTGGCACCATCCTGTCCCCAGATGTCTGGGGCATCCTGGGGCAGGTTCCCAAGCATCCTCTGACTTGGAGTAACCTCCCACCGCCAGTACCCACCCAAACACACACAGCCAGGCCAGGCAGGTTTTGTACCAGGGGACTTTCTACAGGTGTTTCCATCAGGATGGGGCCCGCTGGATCCCTGCCGTTGGTGTGGTGGAAACTAGAGCCACATTGGTGGCTGAGCCCTTGTCCTCTGCTGCCCCTGTCACCTCTGAAATGGGATCTGCTGTACTTAGGACATGTCTCAATTGCTCTCGTGTAGCACTGAAACCAGACACTTGAATGTCTGTCCCTCGGCCAAACCAGGGGCCACAGGAATGCAGAGGCCATATCCTGTGCATTGCTGTCCCCAGCAGTGTCCCTGGTATGTGATGGTGGCAATAATGACAACAGCCTGCATCTCTAGGTATTTAGCAGGTGGACAAGGGTGCAGGCTCAGGAGCCAGGCCCCTGTGTTCAATCTTCACCTGTCCCACCTACTAGCTGTGTGACCTCAGGCAAGTGATTTAACCTCTCTGTTTCCTCTTCTCAAAATTGGAATTGTGATAGTACCAGCCTCACAGGATTATTGTGAGGATCAAATGAATGAATGCGTATGAAGCTCTTAGCCCAGTTCCTGGTCCCAGGTGTCAGCACCCATCCTCCTCCTCCTGATTAATTACGTGTTTACTGGGAGCTTGGCACCAAGTCAAATGCTTTAAATAAGTTACTCAATCCAGCAACTCCATTTCCCAGACAGGGAAACCCAAGGTTCAGAGAGGTTAAGTAATGTGCCCAAGATCCAACCAGCTAGTTAGTTACCTTGAGGACTAGGTCCCAAGCCCAGGCAAGCTGAATTGCGCTCCTAGCCCCCGCCCCGCCCAGGCGGCAGGTGTCTGCCTGGTGAGCAGCGCCAGGGGAATGAAAACAAACAACACAGGTTGGCCCGGGTCTTGGAAACCTCTCTAAAGAATCGCTTGTGTTTTGTTTGAAGGCTCAACCACAGGGATTATCTCCTGGAGTCTCCGCATAGGTTCAGTGTTGCTGACCTCCAGCAGGTGAGTGTCATGCTTCCCCCGCCCAGACCTCCAGAGAGGCCTCTTTCCCGGAGAAGTCAGCAGGGAAGATGGGAGGGGGGTGTCTGTAGTTTACTGAAGACAGCAGTCTGCAGCTTTTCTGCAGCTCAGGGTGGGTTGCACTGCTGCCCCGGCTTCCTGGGCAGGGACGGATACCCGCAGCACCCTGGAATAAGCAAGCACTCCAGCAACCCCAGGATCACAGGAAGAGAGTTTGGAATACTCCTTTCTCCAGGGGGCGGGTACAGTGGAGTCGGGTCTCATCTGTGAGTCCCATTAGCCCTGAGTGACCTCAGTGCCCACGGGCTGGACGCTGGCACTGCTCAGCCTGACTCAGGGACGGGCTGGACACTGGCACTGCTCAGCCTGACTCAGGGAGGTTTGCTTTTCTTGCCCACGTGGAAACTGGGGGTAGAAGTTCTCCAGGCAGGGTGCCATGGTGCCTCAGTGCAGCTGCTTGAAAGGCCTGGGGCCTCAGTTTACCAGCCCTCCGCAGATGGCAAACGGGGTGCATAAAGGATTCCTCAAGACCCTGATCAAATTTGCCTCCCAGCACGTCTACCACTGCGACCTGTGCACCCAGCGCAGCTTCATCTGCCAGATCTGCCAGCAGCACGACATCATCTTCCCCTTTGAGTTTGACACCACAGTCAGGTATGCGAGACACCCAGCCAGCTGTCTCCCAGCCCCACCCTTCTCCCCACACCCACAGCCTGGCCCAAGCACGCAGGGCAGCAGGCCTCGCTCTATGGGCAGGAACGTATTGAACATCCGCTTTGTGCCGTGCCAAGGGCTGGTGCTGCTGTTCGGGGCAGCCCATGCCCTGGGCAGTCATGGGCAGCTCCGGTCCAGCTCAGGGGGCAAGACAAGCTCTCCCAGGACTCCTCTGCCTTTATGGAACCATCTGTCTTCCTAAAGAAGAGGTGGCTGCCGGCTCTCTGCGTGGAGCCTCCTGGCGCCTCAGTGTATGCCTGGGTTGAGGAGGGTTGTATGAGTTACCGCTCTGCACTGTTGGCATGAGACCAGGCACAAAGTGGGCACTTGGTGGGTGGTACCTGCCACTGCCACTGCCTCTGTTGCTGAAATGATCACTCTTGTTCCCAGTTATTGCTCATTATCAGCAACCTCTCAGTGGAGAAATTCATCCAGACCTTCCTCAACCCACATGGGAGTGGAAAACTGAACTGGGAACATTAGTTCTTTTTCTGTCGGTGTTCACTGGCCTGGATTCAGCCCTGAATGGGCCTGGGGGTGAGTTCTTAAAATTATACAGTCTTGGCCGGGCGCGGTGGCTCATACCTGTAATCCCAGCACTTTGGGAGGCCAAGACGGGTGGGTCACTTGAGGTCAAGAGTTCGAGACCAGCCTGGCCAACATGGTGAAGTGCCGTCTCCACTAAAACCACAAAAGTAAGCTGGGTGTGGTGGTGGGCACCTGTTATCCCAGCTACTTGGGAGGCTGAGGCAGGATAATTGCTTGAATCCGGGAGGCAAATATTGCAGTGAGCCGAGATCGTGCCACTGCACTCCAGCCTGGGCAACAGAGTGAGGCTCTGTCTTAAAAATAAATAAGTAAGTAAATGTTTTTAAATATGATAAATCCTTAATGAATTTCAAGCAGCATTTATTAAAAACTGCAATAGTACAGAGAAAATCAGTGTGCATTGTGTGACATATCAGTAAGCACTCTTTCGAGAATCTCCTGTTCCAGAACAGAGAGGCACGGCATGCGTGCGTGGGTTACACGGTATGTCACAGACGTATCGTGGGTTCTGGTCAAAAGTGCTGGCCAGCGTGGCCACAAGGCAACCTCCAGCCCAGCTGGCACCAGCAGGCGTGCTGCTCTCTCCCCAGGTGTGCCGAGTGCAAGACCATCTTCCACCAGAGCTGCCAGGCTGTGGTGAAGAAGGGCTGCCCCCACTGTGCCCGCCGGCGCAAGTACCAGGAACAGAACGTTTTCACCTGATGCCCATCTGCTGACCCCGTTCTGAAGGCCGGGGGTGAGTGCGGCTCAGCCATCCCAGCTGGGTTTGCCATCAGCCCAGGATACTTACCGTGTCACAGCTGTGTCCCCTTGTCAGGAAGACCCTCAAATGTGACCAGAGCACTGGCCTCCCAGAGAAAGCCCAGGAGTCCCTCTGATGTCCCCTGGCCCCCTCACCACCCCTCTGCTGCAGGAGGCATGGCCACCGCCAGATGCTCCCTGTCTCCGGGCAGACAGGGCCTTTCACTCACCGGCCCTGGCTCACCAGCATCCCGGCACCTCCATTAGGGCTGCCCAAACACTGTGGAAAGGAGGCTTGGGGAGCATTTTCAATTCCACATTCCTGATTAAAAGGTCTTGTTTTATAAGGTGGGTTTTTCCATTCATATTTCAACAGAAAGTATTTTTTTATTCTTGACCCTACGTGAGTCACCCATGAAATCCGGACATTCTCACCCCCAGCGGATGCACGGGAGTCATTCAGGCCTGGCCTAGAGGCAGTGGGTGGCTGGCGGGCAGGCCACTGCTGGGACAGGGCCCACCTGGTGCCTTTCCTTGGCCTTCACTGCCAGTGCCAAACCGCCCCTCAGCAGGGGAAGGCCAGTCCTGGTGACCCCACTTCCTCTCTGTCTTTACTCCCCACTCCAGTGCATCTTGCCTGCTGAGCCCACCCCTTTCTCAGCATCAGAGCCCCTAGCTCTTCTCTAGCCCGGGGCCTTGGCCCCATTCGGAGAAGGAGAAATGACTGGAAACCAGCACTGTCAGCACTTTGAGCCCTCCTCGGTTTAGGGAGGGTCACCATCTTGCCCACCCCCGATCCTCACTCCTCTATAGACAGGGGCGCTGCTGCAGATGCTCCAGGCCCACCTCGGTGGGTGCCCGGGGTCACACTCTCTGCCTGACTGACCCCTGCCAGGGCACAGACAGGCAGGACCCCAGAGAGGGCAGGCAGCCCGGCCCTGCACTGTGGAGAAGTGACCCGGTCCTTTGCCCTAAGCTGTGCGGGGCGTGCAGGGGAGCTGCCCTGTGGATGCAGCCGCAGCCTCACAAAGCCATGAATTCCCACAGCATCACTGAACTTGCCCAGCTAGGACATGGAGACTGAAGAACTTCCCCAGAGCAGGACTGCCTTTGAAGGGGCCTTGGGGCTGGGGTGGGAGCCTGGAATTGTTTTTGAAGTGAAGTTCAGACCCTCCAGGCTTTGGGGGAAATGTGGGTTTGCTGGTCTCTCTGTCGCCATCCTCCACCTCTCCTGGACCCAGCAGGCCCTCAGTCCTAGCTGTCTTACCTGCGCTCAGCTTGGAGTCTGAGGCCTCAGGTGGAGATCTGCCTGTCACTGTCAGAGATGAGCCCACCCTCACCCCTTCCTGGGGGCGATCGGCTGCTGAGTCACCCACCCAGCCTTGGAGCTGGCTGCCTGTGCACCACAACAGAGGCGGCAGTGGCAGGCAATTGGAGGCTGCACACAGCTTTTCCAGGTCATGGCGCACACCCGTGCCCAGATGCCAATGCCTCCTAAGCCAGGAGCTGGGTTATGCACCTGCCATGGCCCACATTAACTCTCCCCCACAAGCCTGGCCTCGTCAGAGCCCTCATTGCCCCATCCCTGAGTGGGCAGGAGCCTGGCCTGGGGAGGGCTTGGGCCTGTGAAGATTCTTCTGGAAGGCGCCCTCAGAAACAGACTAATTCTCAGGGAAATCAGATTGCGGTAAAATGAGATAGAAATAGACAACATTCAGATCTGAGATTTCCTGTCCTTGAAGGCCCCTTTCAGATTACAAGTTGGCATCCTCTGCCCATCTAGGTGCCGCAGCTTCCCCCAAGGACAGTAGATGGTAGGCCCAGAGAAGATAAGAGAAACTGGGGGAGGGAGGCCCAGTGGAGGGCCATGGCATGTGACCTGGTTCTGCCCTGCAGGTGGGCTCAGCCCTTCTCCATCCTCAACAAAGCGCCTCTGAGGGCACTTGTTTCCCCTTCTCCCCAACTTTTTTGTTTGTTTTGAGATGGAGTTACTCTGTTGCCCAGGCTGGCGTGCAGTACCGTGATCTCAACTCACTGCAACCTCCACCTCCCGGGTTCAAGCAATTCTCTTGCCTCAGCCTCATGAGTAGCTGGGACTTCCCCTTCTCTTCTGCCTGAAGGAGGGGTGGTTTGCAGATTTCAATCCAACCCCCAAGAGCTCATCACATAATATAAGTGTCATAATAGCTGATATAGGTGGGCACGGTGGCTCATGCCTGTAATCCCAGCATTTTGGGAGGCCAAGGCAGTCAGATCATTTGAGGTCAGGAGTTCAAGACCAGCCTGGCCAACATGGTGAAACCCCGTCTCTACAAAAATACAAAAATTAGCCGGGCATGATGGCAGGGGCCTGTAATTCCAGCTACTCAGGAAGCTGAGGCAGGAGAATCACTTAAACCCAGAGACGGAGGTTCCAGTGAGCCGAGATCGTGCCACTGCACTCCAGCCTAGGTGACAGAGCCAGATTCCATCTCAAAAAAAGAAAAAAAAATAGCTGGTATATTGTGTGCGCTGGGCATGTGGTAAGCTCTGCTTAGTGGACCTCATTTAATCCTCCCAATAATCCGGCGAAGTGAGTGTTACTATTGATAGGAAAGAAAGCTGAGCTGCAGAGATGAGGCAGAGCTCCCAAGGCCTACCAGCCGCCAAGCAGCAGAGTGGGGCATCATACCAGCCTGACCCCACCAAAGACCATCACCGCTGCCTGGCTGTGCTGCAGGTGGGGAGGCACCTAAAAGGTAGGGAGGGAGAAGATTCCTTCAGTCACTATTTTCTAAGCATGTCGGGCACCAAAGACAGATGCCGAGTTCTGCTGTGTGCCTACCCTGGAGGGTCCCAAGGTGCCACCAAGCCTCAGACACACTGAGATTCTCAGAGGAAGTGGGGACTCATGGGTGGCAATGCCTAGCAGAGGCAAAGATATAGAGGTAAGGGAGTTCCAGAATGAGCGTGGCCAGATTCAGCTTCCCACCCAACCCTGGACCCCCAGGAGGTGGTGTCAAGAGGGGCCATGGCCTGGGGTTCGGGCCCCTCTTCCTCCCAGAACACTGGCCTGAATCAGCCAGCTCCTGGCACACACAGCCAGGTCCACAGGCACAACTGTTCTTTGGGGCCCCTGAGGGCAAGGGGTCTGCTGGGGCTGTGGCTTGTGATGTCTGGAGTGAGCGCAGGCTCAGATCAGGGCCAGGCAGCTTGTCCAGAGAGGCAGGTAATTCCCAAACAGAAGACCCCCAAGGCAGAGGGTCCTGGGGCTGGACTCCTGGCCTCTAGGAGGTTGTTCTGAGCTTACCCTGTGGACAGATTGGAGGGTGGCCCTCCTTCCCCGCAAGGATCAAGAGGCAGTTGGGGATGGTGGGAAGGTAACCTGGCCAGGAGAAGCTGCGAGGGGGAGGCTCCTGCCATCCTCAGTCCCACCATCTGAGCCCCGCGTCCTCTTCCTCCCTGGAGACAGCCAGGTGTGGCCCAGGATCCCGGGAAGTGCAGAGGAGGGGGTGGCGTCTTCGCTCTTCAGGCGCTGGCCTGGCCCAGAGGGGTCAGGAAGCCAGGATGCCGGGGATTGTCTCTCGCAACTGCAGCCCAGACCCAGTCCGGGAGGAAGTTCTGCCAGGCGCTCTCCACCGGTGCCTTCCTAGTTATATTGCTGAATAGGAAACCGGGCAGCGCGGGAACCGCGCGGTGGAGTAGCGAGCGCTGGACACCGAGCCCACGCGCACCCGCTGGGACAAGTGGAGGCGAGGCCAGCGAGCGGACACCCCAAAGTGCCCGGGCAGGCAGTGGGCCGCCGAGCGGGGATTGAGGTGGGAGGTGGGGTGGGGGTGGGGCAAGGGGCAGGATGGGGAGGAAAGTGTGCGGCAGGTGGCGGGTCCGCACCAAAGAGCTCCTCGCCCTGCTCCTCTTGTCTCGGTGCTGGGGCGGGAGCTGCGCGGGCCTCATCCCACGGGGAGGAGAAGGTAGGCGAATGCTGCCCTCCATCTGGAGGCAGGAGGGGAGCAGGCCCAGGCCCCCAGTGCCGACCCAGGCGTTGACGCCGCTGCAGCTTGTGTCACCTCGGCGGTGGACGCAGGGGACCTCCTGGGGACGGGTGCGATCTTGTGCTCCAGGGATCCTCCCGGCCCCCACCAATCCCTCCCCTTCTCTGTGTTCCCCCAGGTTGGCGAAGGAGCTGTAGCCGGGTCCACGTCTTATCCAGCCCGAGACACTGTGCTCCGTTGGGCGTCCCTGCGCTGGGAATCCCGCTCGGAGTTTTTCCAGGCCCGGCCGGGCTGGAAAGGCCCCGGTGGGGGAGGTGGACCCGGAGCGGCGGGTCTGCAATCCGGTTGGAAGGACTCGAAGTGAGTGATTCAGGGTGCGAATAACCTCCCCGCGAGCAGGAACGCCCGCACGAGACAACCAGCCCCAACCCGGCATTCCCGGAGCCGCGCGCGGGAGGGACACAGGGACTCCGGGACAGCAAATCCCCGGGGGAGAAGGGAAGGGGGAAGACGGGGCAGGGGCAGCCCCACCCTTCTTGGGCTCCGCTAGCGACCATCCAGCGCCCCTTCAGACGCAGCCTTTCTGGCTCCCGGCCCCGGCCTTCTGCTCCGGGCCTCGTCCCAATGCCCCGCAAGGTCCCCAGCAGAGGCATTCAGGCTCCTCCTCGCCCCGCCCAGACACAGCTGCTTTGGGTATCGGTGACAGCACTCCTGAGCGTCCCTGTCCCTATTTGCTGCCATTGCCAGCTCCGATTCCGCGCAGCCTCTCCGGCCTGGCCCCTGGAAGCCCGGCCCAGGGCGATGGTAGGGGCCTAACCTGCCGACTCCGCCCACCGGGCCCTTGGGCTCCCTGTGACCAGCCCAGCCGACGTGAGTGCGCTACGGGGTCCAGGGAGAAGGGGCGCCGGGGGCAGCGTCCACCTTGGGGTTTGTTGGCTCAGGGCAGCTCGATGACCCCGCCTCCGGGGCCCAGTGTGCGTAGTGACTCAGTGTACACCCTTTCCTCGTCAAGAAACGCTTGAGAAAGTGGCGAAGGAGCCCTACGGGGGCCTCGGTTGGACTCTGCTTCTTCGGTCCCTCAGCCTCGGCCAGCGACGGTCTCCTGGCCCCTGGTCCGGGTCACCTTAGGGGGCAGGAGGAGGTGTGGTCAGTGTGGGAGTCTGGAGGGGCCATGCACTTCCGGAGAAGACCACCGACTCGTGGCTTTGGTGGAGGGGCGCAGGCAGATTTAGTTAGGCTCTCCCCCATCCCTGACACACTGGAGTCCGGGCGGGAGTGGGGCTTGTGACCACTCCGGAGAGCTCTGGGGGCCCCTGCTCTGGGACTCCGCACGGATAGTCACTGTCTCAGAGTGCATTCTCCAGGGGCCACTCTCGTGGGGGCACTGTAGGGGTCCCAGGGCAGGTGGGCAGCCTTTCTCCGGGGCGGCGTGAGAGCCGGAGAGCAGGGGGCGGGGCGGGGCGGGGCGGGGCGGGGCGGGGCGGGGCGGGCCCGGCTAGGGGTCACGTCTGCGCTGAAGCAGCTGTGGAAGGAGAGAGAAACCGAGAGAACCGGTTCCCCCGCCTTGACAGCGGAGGTCCCCACACCAAGGCCCTCGGACTAAGCGGGGCAGGGACAGCCCCCAGGTAGAGCTGTTCACCGGGGCGCCTGCAGAGCCCGCATCCCAACCCCGACCCCGGGGCCGGGGCGCAGGCTCGCGGAGGGAGGCGGTGCAACGAGACCCTCTGCGGATTCTCTGCGGGCGGGAGGCGTCCAGGTGGGACAGGGCCCGGGGAACGGCAGGAAATGGGCTGCTTTTCCTACTTGACTGACGGGAAAACTAAGGCTCAGTCAACTATTAAGCAAGCGTGGTGTCGACCTTAGAGCAGGCAATCACCCCTCGTTTTAAAGCCAAGGTTTCCCTCGCAGTCGATTTGGATCAAGACTACCCACAATCTCCCCACCGCAGGACCGAAGCGAGGCTCAAATCTTAGAATCAGCCCCACGGAATGAAGGGGTTGTCCTAATTCCAGCACTGAGTGTAAGAATGGAAGCCTTAGATGTGAGTGTAAGAATGGAAGCCTGAGATGTGATTTTATGCAAGTCCCCATTTTAGAAATGGGAAAACTGAGGCCCGAAGGCGAACGGCAAGTGCAGTATCGGGACTCGAACCCATGTCTATCCCTGCGTGCGGGGCTATTCCGGGCTCGGTTGTCTTGACTTCCGCGGCCCTCCTCCTTGTTGCCTGCAGGAAAACGCCGCGGCCGCGATGGCGGCGGATGTGGAGGGAGACGTGTACGTGCTGGTGGAGTACGCCTTCGAGTACACCGGCAACAATGGGCGCCGCGTGGCCATCCCGCCCAATGAGCTCTACCGGCGGCTGCGGCGCAGCACCGAGCACCGGTGGCACCTGCGGCGCGAGCCCGGCGGCCGCCCCTTCTACCTGCCCGCGCAGTACGTGCGCGAGCTGCCTGCGCTGGACAACCCTGCCACGGCCGCGCCGCCAGGTCCCCAACCGGCCCCGCGGCCCCCGAGCCGTTCTCCTATGACAACCGGTTCGTGAGGGCGGCGGCGGCAGCGGGCCCCAATGGCCCCCCGGCGGAGCCCCGAGGCGGCGCCAGCTCCCTGTGCGGCCCTGCGCAGCGCGGCGCCGCGACCCAGCGCAGCAGCCTGGAGCCTGGCCTGCCCGCCTGCCTGTACCTGAGGCCCGCGCAGTCCCTGGACAACCTGGCGCGCGCCGCCGTCTCGCCTCCCGCCGGCCACCTCGGAAGCAGCGGCAGCTTCAAGGCCTGCAGCGTGGCGGTGTCCTGGGTGTGCCTGCTGCCCCTGGCGCGCAGCGACTCAGAGAACGTCTACGAGGCCATCTAGGAGGTGCGCGGCCCGCCGCGGGAGGAGAGCACCAAGCAGGTACGACCCCGGGCGCGGAGGCGGGGAGGCTCACTGGGGACCGCGCCCGCAGGGAGCCTGGGCGCGAGGAGACCCGCTCCGCTCAGCATCGGGCACGACGCCCACCTTTGTCCGAAGACTTCGGATGAGCTCCCTCTCCCCAGCCGCGAAACAGTGCAGGCTCCCAGTGCCTCATCTGCAGTTCCCAGGCTCCAGAGCTCCCTGGAAGCCCAAAAGGTTTTCCGTAATCCAATTGGTGGCAAAATTGCGCTTGAACTGATGTGAGGCTGTTGATGGTCTTTATTTATCGCGCTTGTGTGAATATTCATATTTTGCTGCAGAAATGCAAATGAGCGCGATAGCCGGCGGCTGCCCCAAGCCCTGATGGGAGGTAATGTAACCCACAGCAGGTGGGTGCCTCACGATATCTTTCCAAGTCCCAGCTGTTCTGTATTCCGAAGTGCATCTGGGCATGGAACGGGGGATTGCGGGCCTGCCGCCAGCTCAACCGCCTTGCCCGTCTCCCAGGAGCCTGGGGTCAGATGAGAGGGTGGATGTGAAAGTCTGGCGTCTGCTTCCCTTTGAGGGTGCTTCCAGAATTTCAGTTCCTTTTTATTTTTTATTTTTAAAAGAACTCCTGATGGGTTTCTTTCAGAAAGACGTCCGGTTAAGTAAGGTTTTTTTTCCCTCTTCAGAATGTAGTTGTGTTAATCTGGGAAATCGAAAATAGAGCACGTTTTATAAACACTCTTACATCCCCAGAACACTCTGGGCGACCCTGACATTTTGAACTTTAGGAACTTTTCAGGGAGGGGCAGCCCGAGGGGAAAAAAGTTTGCTCAGAACCGTTCTGCCATCTGCCACCGGCCGTGTGATGATCTAGAGGCAGTTCCCTTCCTCACTCAGGGTCTGGGTTTGTTCTTCAGCCCAAAGGGAGGGGGTGGACAGATGACCTCTGAACCTTGGGAGCCCCTAATTTCTTTCGCTGTGCCTGATGTCATTACCATGAACATTGATGCCCACCATGTGCCAGGACTGAGTCCGGGATGCCCAGACGAAGGAGACACGTAGTCCCGCTGCTGGGTCTTCCCTCCGTCCGTCTCGTTACAATGCAGAGCTGAGATTTTTGAGGCTGGGGAAAGGAGAATTGGACTCTGCTGGGTCACCTGCCAGCTGCGGACAGCCACTTAACTTACACACGAGGACGCTCCCCCAGGCCCAGCGTCCTCTGGTGTAAGCACAATACCTAAGGATTAGGGTTGTGAGCCTTAAACGAGGTAAGACTTCGAGGCGCTTGGCAGTAACAGAGGGTCCACCCAGACTCTCTAGGTCGTCCTCGTTTGGCTTCCCTGGGTCTGCGCCGCCTTCTCTCCGGCTCCTGCAGCGGCAGCCCGCCGCCTTGCGGCCAGGATGGAGAACGGCACCCGGCGGGCGGGGCTGAGGACCGCTGCTGGTTCCTGTTTCGTGCCGCTGCCAGCCGGCCAGGCAGTTTCTCTGGGATGGGTGGCTGGATGCCAGCCCTCTTCTCCCCCAGCGTCCCTCAGTTTCCTTCGCAGGCTCCCGGTGGCGCACTTCTCGGCCTCTCCACATTCTCTGTGCTGGTGACGGTGGGAGGGTGCCTGCGCGTCTGAGTGGAGCCCCTGGAGGTGGGGAAATGGCCTTGCTCTTTGAACCTCGCATCTGGCCCAGGGTCTGGCTCAGACAGAGTGCACACAGTGTGTGTTGAAAAGGGCAGAGGTGTGGCAGTCCCTTACCTATGAGCCAGGGCTCTGTGGGTCTGCCCAAGGGCCACCACCCCAGGCCCCAGGACCAAAGAGGAGGGAGACTGCCCAGGTCCTGACATCTCCTGAGAAGACAGGTCACCCCGGCTGCCAGGGCCCCTGCCAGGTGGCCCCTCTGCCCATCCTTCTTCCAGCTCCTAGCAGGTTCCTAGTTGCAGTGGCATCTGGGGGAGGGGCACAGGTGATGGGGGCAGGGGACTTACCCTGGGGGGCATCTAGGACATTGGCCAGAGACAGGCTGCTCCTTGGCCCCACTCGTGGCCCTAATTCACTGTGTGACCTCCACAAGTCACTTTGCATCTCCGGTCCTGTTTCCTCCCCTGTGCGATGGGTGCAATAATACCAGGTTCCCTGCACGGAGCTTTATTCAAGAGGCAGCTGTGGGTCTCCCTGGTGCTCCACCCCCAACAAAGTCCAGGGTAGGGAGTTAGTCCTGCCCCCCAAGGGAACCCCACCCCTGCCCTTAGTTGTCCCAGGCGGCATTTGCCACCATGATCCTCCAGGCCCATTCACTGGTTCATCAGGCGTGAACTAGCTGAATACCTGCCAAACCCTGGTGAGCCTTTGGATCTGGAGAGGACTGAGGCACAGCCACGTTCCTGGGGGAGTCGCCCTCTTGGA